TGCCGGCTTTGCCGTCGTTTGACACAATCTAGTATTGATAATTCAGTGTTGCCAACAGATTTTTTTGTCACAACTCTAACATTATTCAATGTTGCTAAATTAATTTGACAAGATTGAAAACTGAACAAACAGAAATTAGTTAAATCGTAATTTGCAACATTGACTATTAAATTCAAATGTCACAATTTCATAGTTAATTGTCATTCACCTTCGATGGGCGGTTACCGGCATTGCCGTTGTTTGACACAATCTAGTATCAATAATTCAGTGATGCCAACTGTTTTTCCATCACGATTCTACATTATTCAATGTTGCTAAATTAAGTTGGTAACACTAAAGACTGTACGCACAGAAATTACATAGTTAAATCTTAATTTGGCAACATTGACTATCATCTTAATTTGGCAAAATTGATTATTAAATTGAAATGTCACAATTTTATAGTCACCTTCGACGGGCGGTTGCCGACTTTGCCGTTGCTTGACAATCTAGCATCAATAATTCAGTGTTGCCAACAGATTTTTTGTCACAACTCTATATTATTCAAGTTGGCAACATTGAAGACTGTATAAACAGAAATTAGTGAAATCTTAGTTTGCCAAAATGTTGCCAAACATGTGTGTGACATTTCAATTTGATAGTCAATGGACTATCAAATTGAAGTGTCACACTTGTCATGCACCTCCGACGGGCGGTTGCTGGCTTTGCCGTCGCTTGCCACATCTAGTATCAATAATTCKGTGTTGCCAACTTAAGCCACGAGCACTTTGATCAGTTTTGTTTGTGTGTTGCAGGTACAGTAGAGAGTGGCGTTATCACATGGAGGAGAAGGTTTGGATAACACAAGTCCCTGGCATGATGTTAGCTGAAAAGACTTCCACATACGAGCGAGGCACTTATTACTTTTTCGATGCGCAGAATTGGCGAAAAGTCCCGAAAGAATTCCATTTGGATTACAGCAAACTCGAAGGCCGGCCTGTCATCTCATCAAACCTGCACAATACATCGTGAGACGGTGTTATTCCATGACTTCGCCCGACTATGAATAAATGAAAAGTGTATACACTATATGAGTTGTTAGATTTTAAGGTTAATGCGTCTATTAAATAAGTGAAAATCTCACTTATTTACTAGAATTGGATAAGTATTAATTTTGAAAAAAAGATTAAAAAGTTATATACCTATACAGTTTTCATTTTATTTGTAAATTTACTGTACAATATTAATAAATAATATGATTAATTGATTTTCAACGGATGCACATCATCTCTTTCATTCGATATCTCGGCTTATTTTCACAAATTTATTTTCCTACAATGTTTATAAATAAACGAAACAACGTTATATAAACGCGATCAAGCGAAAAACATTTAATCTCATCTCAAGCCACAACTTTACGTTGGCAACATTTCAAAAAGATTTGATTATAATTTATGAGGCTAAAAGCGGACCGCTACATAATCCAACTATTTTTCTTTTACTTTTAGCTACACGACTGTTAAATTTAAACACGCGGTGTGAATGAAGCCTTGTTTGTAAGTACGCCTATATTCAGACTGGCATTTATACGCATTTGAGTTTTAAACAAATTTGCTTTGTGGGTGGGACGCCTCGGTGTATCGAGTGCGTGTTACGCCACTGGCGCAATCAACCCTAACCTGGATTAAAGCACCGGTGTTCATTTTAAATAATGTAGAATTTGCGTACGAGTCTCTTATCGATTATTCCACCACAACACGTGTGAAAAATAACAAATTTAGTGTTTCATTGAAAATAATTAATTCATAGATTTGGTAAAGCGCCCTCTGGTGTCGGTTTTCTCGTCCGAAAATGCTCCAATTTTTGAACAACTGTCAATGTTTTTCGTGTTGTAGTTCGGAAGAGTGGATCAGGGGGGGCTCCTGGAGGGGTGATGTCCCCGATTTGGGCCTAAAATTATCGTTAGACGATGAAAATCCCCCGCGCGCCACTGTTGCCGGTCATGTAGTTTTCCTTCTCGCCGACAGTTTTCCACCTGTCACCTTTCGAAGTGTCAGTCGATCATTAATCATTGATTATCGCGGCCAAGTGTCGGTGCAGTGACGCCCCGGTCGTGGAAATGCAGTGAGAAGGCCCCCCGAGGCAGAGAAATCCGCGATTTGCACATTGTCGTCGCTATCGCTGAGGAAGTTTGACAGGTCGCGAGTGGTCAGTGGTGGTGTTAAATGCGAGACTCGACGCTTGTGAACTGGGGGCACCCGTGAACGGCACCCGAGGTCTTCTGGGCGACGCGACACCGCTATTTTCAGGTACTTGGCCGGGAAAGGGGGGCGGCGGGTTTGAGGTTAGGGAGGATTGATGAGGGCTCGCGTATTGACCCCAAGAAAGCGGTCGGAAACGACGGGAAATGACCGGTTAACGTGGACACTATTTCGTTTATGCGGTCATCCGGGGTCACCGAGGGTGGAACTAGGACGCTGGGGGGCCGATTTTTGCACACAATCTAATCAAGTTTTTGACCCAAATATTTACTCTTTTTTATTGAAAAGTTAATTATTATGCTAAACGAAGCTTCTGTTTAATTAGTGTCACCATACGAGTTTTTTTTAATTAATAATTTTGTGTCATTTTGCTCTTGTAGATTCCGTACTTTTTATCACATTTACTTCCCTAAGACGACAATAATTTTACCAATTTTGTTTTATTAAAGTTGGTACCACTGTTCAGTAACTTTGGATAATGTCGGTATTGCCAATTTGATTTGTTTTACAATTTTTGGTGGTTTTGTTAAAAATACAAAACAGGAATTGAATTAGTAGAGTTACAAAAAGCAAAAGTAGAAATTCTGACACGAACCGCGTAGCAGCGAGTTGGTTAACAAACGATTCTTTGATTAGCCTTCAGTCACGAGTCTTTTACACTATTTTTCTAATTTGCGCTTTTAAAGAAAAAAAGAAAGTTTTCAAATTTAGGAAAGTTTGCGTCAGTTGGTGTCTCGGAAATCCGGGAAATTGGTAAGAATATTGAAAGAAATATACTTTCAACAGCATGGTCACCAACAAAAAACATAAAATACCCTAGACTGTCAACGCACCTAAACGAGTTTGTTAATATCGTTGGTAAAGATGCAGATTAGAAAAAAACGTTTAAAAGTTAAATAAATTATACAAGTTTTAGAAAGAAAAAGATTAAAAATTTTTGTACCTGAAGAAGTGTTTAGAATTATGAAATAAAAAAAAATAAAAAAAAATTGATTTATGATAAAAGTAATAGTTGATGAAAATACCTAAAAAATTTAAATAAACATTGAGGAATTGAATAAAGCACTTTTTTATTTTTTTGTGTTTTAGCTCGTTTATTCTTGTCTGTTTTATAATTTTGTTTTGAATTCGGCAAAAATCTTAACACAATTTGAATAAAAAAAACAACGTAAATAACGAAATTTCGAGTATAAAAGTACAAAAATAAATACAATTTAAGTTGTGAAAGGAAATATTGTCACCAACACAAAAAACATAAAATTCACTAGTGTTAATGCACTGAGAGGTTGTTATAAGGCAGTTAACATTTAAAAGTTGGAAAAATTAGTTAAAATGCACGATTTTTTGTAAAAGGGTTACTGAAAAAAAAAAAACTTAAAATTTTCGTAGCAGGAAACCCATTTTTGGACTTGAAAACGTGATTATAGAATTCCCACATAAATAAAAATAGAATTTATTTAAAAAAGAATTGAGTTTTGTGAAAAGAAATTAAATAAACGTTAAGGAATTGAATAAATCACGGTTTTTGATAATTTGTAAACTAAAGATGAGGAAGGAAAATGATTTAAACTTAAACTTTTTAAGTAGTTTATTATTATCTGTTTTATAATTTTATGTTGAATTCTACAAAAATTGTAATTTCAACTCGATTTTAACAGAAAAATTAACGTAAATGAACGAAATTTTAAATAACAGGAACAAAAAGAAATACAATTTTATTTAGGAAAGGAAATATTGTCACCAACATTAAAAACGTAAAACAAACGAGTTTGTTAATATGACGCAAAATAAAAAAAACATTTAAAAATTGAATAAAGCACGGTTTTTAATAAATTTTAAACAAGACTTTCAGAAAGAAAAGACTAAAACTTAAAATTTTCGTGGTAGGAAACTCAATTTTGGACTTGAAAAAGTGATTAGAATTTTCACAGAAATAAATAAAAAAGAATTAATTTTTGATAAAAGTGCTCTAATTTTTAGTTTAATAGTTGATGAAAATACTAAAAAGAAAATTAAATAAGCATTAACGGTTTTTGATAAATTTGAAAATGAAGCGAAGGAAGGAAAGTAATTTTTATAAACTTTTATGGTTTTTTTAATTTTGTTTTGGATTCTACCAATTTCAAGTAATAGGAACAAAAAATAAATACAATAAGCTGATTTTCTGAATAGAATTTTGACTCGAAAGACTCATCAATGATAAATGAAGAGAATCATGCAATAACCTATTAAAAGTGAAATTACTCTCTTACATTAATCAGAGTATTATCGTCAATGAAGATAATTAATTGGATAATTATTGAAGTCGTTTTCCATAACTTAGACTGTATTTTTTTGARATGTTTCTGATGTTGTGATAAGTGTATAAAATGCTATATRAGTGTTAGGGATTTATTTCTCGGTTGTTAGATAAGCAATCAATCAATATGTGTGAATAATATTAAATTAAATATTGTATTTTGTTTTATTCCTATTACAATCGAAATATTTTTGCATTGATTATTATAGCAACTGTTGCGGAAGATATTTCAATTATTTTACGAGTTACAAACCACAGTTTCTCATAAAACTATTTAACGGATGTAAAACCGAGGAAATGAGCGCTTACAATTTATTATGATTGATACTGAAAATATATAATTAGTGTTTGAAATGCTTTAAATGCTCCAATAAATATCTTTCGTTGTTACACAATCATTTCTGTGAGCAAAAATTTATTCCACATAATATCGATTCGAGTGGATTGAGGTTTGATAATCGACAAATCTTGTTATTTAACTGAAATTGATTTATATTAGTTGCACRTCAACCACTTTAATAATGTTGCAATAAGTGCCTGTTARAACTACGAGTTGTGCCAAATTCAACTTTTATTGAAAAAATATTCAATTCTTTCTATTTTCGAGTAAAACTTGATASTAATTGTTCGTTATAAATTATGAGTTATTTATTTTCTTAACGTTTTATGTTTGCTTAAACAACTAGTTTAATATGTAAATTAATAATAATTACAGCACTTATCAATTATTATTAGCATTAAATTACTTCAGTAGTTTTATAGCACCGTATAAATTAAATTTTATTAAGATTTTCATTACACTTTTCTAATAAAAACTGAAGTAGTTTTTTAAGCGGGATGGTTTTAATTAGTGTTTAAAATTAAATGAATTTACAAAATTATTAAAATGACAAAACTTGTGATTTATACAGGATGTTCCAGCGAGTTGAAAATGTCCATTAGTGACTTTTAAATGGTAAAATTAAAAAAAATGTATAGGACATTGTTAGATATTAATCTAGTCCATCGCCTAAAATTATTTTCAACTATACAACGTGTCTCAAAAATAAGTTACAATACAAACTTGTGTTTTTTTAAATGAAACACCATATGTTTCTTAGCGTTTTTGGATGTAGATTTTTATGACAATGTTTTAAGCTAAACTTTTATTAGTCGATTTTGCTTAATTTTAAAAATAAGACAGTTTTTTTGACGAAAACATGCATTTTTAAAAAATGTATTACACAAAAACTAAGACATCTAGAACAATTTTTTTTACTACCGCAAAGAAGAAGGTACAAGCTATAAGGTTGTAACATTTTTTTTTTAGTGTACTGGTACTTAATTGAAAACCCTGGATCATTTTGATGAAAAATTAAGCTATACTCATATGAGAAAAATAGATAGTTTAACTTGTTCAGTTGATTATTGATTTATTTTTGTAAAAAATAAGTGATGGTATTGAAAGGGGAAAATTTGTTGTGCGAAAATTGGGAGAAAAAGCCAAAATTTCGTAAATTTGGCCGTGGTGGCTGAAGATACCGGGTGTCCCAGCGAGTTGAAAAAGTCCATTAGTCACTTTTAAATGGTAGAATTGAAAAAAAATACATAAGACATTGATAGATACTAATCTAGTCCATCGCCTAACATTATTTTCAACTATACAGCGTGTCTCAAAAATAAGTTACAATACAAACTTGTGTTTTTTTTAATGAAACACCATATTTCTTAGCGTTTTTGGATGTAGATTTTTATGACAATGTTTTTAAGCTAAGCTTTTATTGGTTGGATTATTAGTTTTAAAAATAAAACGGTTTTTTGACGAAAACATGCACTTTTTAAAAATTTATTACACAAAAACTAAGACATCTAGAATATTTTTTTACTACCGCAAAAAAGAAGGTACAAGCTATAAGGTTGTAACGTTTTTTTAATGTGTTGCATTTGCAAAGATAAAAAAATTAAGGCGTTTGTTAAAAGTTCAATAACTTAAAAAATTTAAATGGAACACCCTATTTATTGTTTTTG